CTACACACTTCCTGCTGTTGTATCTTATAGTTATTTAATTATGTTCTATGGTTTTTTCGATTTTTACTTTTTTGTTTCCTTATTTTTAGTGATGTACGGGAAAGAGTCCTTCAGTATAATATTTAATTTATATAGTAATTTTTAACTTATACTTAATATTATAATTTTTTTATTTATCTTGTAATATTTTATATATTATTATATTTTAATATTAGTCTATAGAATATAATAAATATATTATTAATTTGATAATATTTAATTATAAAATAATAATAAAATATCTTTTTAGACAAACTTATCTTTTTAATATAATAATTACTATATATAACTATTTAAGAAATAGTTATATAATATCAAATATAAAATAATTAAGATCAATATTGTATAATTTTATATAAAAGTTTAATAAAATAATACTAATATAATATATCTAAATAAAAAAAATATATACAAATATTAATTTATATAATAAAATTTTAAATTTATTATATAGTAATAATTAATAATTTTTATTTTTAAAATAAATTATTTTTTATATAAGGCCATACAAAATTAATTTTTGTTTCTCATAACATTAAATTTTAAAAATGACCTGGCTGGCTGGCTTTTTCTTTTAAATTTTATATATAAAATTTTATAAAATTTTTAAAATATTTTTTTTGAAACCCTACCAGACTATTAAAACATATAAAAAATTTTTCTTCAAGAGTTTTCAAAATTTGACCCAGCCGGGTTATAAGAAACAATTAATTAAATTTGTATAGCCTAATCTAAATTAATTAATTTTAAAAAAATAATTTTATTAATTCATAAATAAATTTATATTTAATATAATATTAATAAATAAAAATAATAATTATTTTTTTTGAATTGGATTTGTAAGAAATGAGTTTCTTTTTCTTTTGTTTGAAATAATAATAGATTCATTATTATTTTGATCTATATTATTTGAAAAATCAATTGAAACTCTTCTAAATTCTGTTAATCTTTCATTTTCACTAGTTGTTGTAATAAAATTATTTAATGCTAATGTAAATTCAGTATTAAAATTATTTTCATTTATGTCAATATCTTCAAATATATTATCTTCATCTAATTCAATAATATCATTATTATCAATTTCTTCTCTATCATTTTTAGATTTTTTTTATCAGATTTTAAATATATATTAAAATTATTTGATATTGTTTCAATTGAAGATTTATAATATTGAAAACAATAATTACATGTAAAATTTAAATTATTAAAACATATAGTATGATATGAATGTCCATATAATAAAATAATAATATTTGAATCTATAATATTACAAAATTGTAAATCACATAATTTTTCCTTATTTAGAATAACATCAGTATGATATGCTGATGGAAGAATTCCTCTTACAAAACTTTTTTCAATAGTTGGAATATAAACTTCAATTTTATTTTTTTGACCTTTTTTAATTTTAAAATCATTTTGTTTTTTATAAAAATTTGTAAAAAATTTTAAAAGAAAAATACTAGAATTTGAAACTAATATATCTAATTGAGGTTTAAAAAATAAATATTCTTTTGTTTTTAAAAATTTTAAAATAAATTGATTTTCATGTTTTTCATGATCTATAAAAATTCTATATCGATGAAGAGTTTTTGAATTTGTTAATTTAGATGTAGTACTTCTATGTACTAAACTATGAAAATTTTTAACTGGATATTCATCAAGTAAATTTAAATTATTAAAAAATATTTTCATTATTGGATGCTGATTTTCATTCCATTGTAAAATATCTGATAAAAAAACAAGCATTATTTTATCATAATTTTTTCGATCACATCTTCGCATAAACATCTATAATCGAAATATTGTTTCATAATAGTATTCAAAATGATTATTTCTAAATAAATTTGTATAAATATCTAAAGTTGAAGGTATAATATCATCTAAAAGATTTAAAATTGAATAAAACCACCATTTTTAGAATTTTTAAAAGCTTCAAGAACTTTGGATCTTATTTTAATCCATCCAGCATGTACAATATAAAGTAATAAATTTATTTGCCATGGTTTTGGTTTTTCTGCTAAATTTTTCTTTTTATTAAAAACATTTTTATATAATTCATTAAAAAATGAATGAAATTTAATAAGACATGTTTCTCTTGTATTTAATGAAATATGTAAAGGTCCAAGTAATGGAACAAAATGATTAATTTCTTTTGGAATATTATTAAAAGATGGATTAAAATATTTATAAACAATAAGTTTTCTAATATATAATTGACCAGGAAAATCTATAAGTATAATTATAATATTATCATTTAAATATTCTTTAATATCTGAAAATTCCATTAAATTATTAATTATTTGTAAATAATCATCTGTATTTTTTAAGTCAGAAGAAATAAAATTAATAAGTTTGGTATCATTAAAATTTCTCATATGTTGATTTTCAAGAGTACCATCATACATATGAACTAATAAAGATTCCATTAAAGATTCAGATGAAAATGTTGAAATATCTGAAATATTTTTCCATTCTAATTTACGACTATTATAACTAATTAAATTATTACGTAATTCATTAAATAATGCATTATTAAGATGATTAATTGAAATTAATCTGGATTGAAAAAGTAAAAAATTATTTGAAGAAATAAAAGGAACTTTTAAAATATTAGATTTACTATTAATTAAAGTAGTTGCCATATGGTATATCCTATTATTAGAAGTAATAGTTGGAAGCCTAGTTTGATGACAATTATGATAATCATCTATATTAAGAATAAAAAGATTATTAAAATTATTTTGTAAATATTTTTGTATATATATTTTATGATTTTTTTCTAAATCTATCATATTTGAATATAATTTTGAATAACTTGAAATATATCCAAAATTTGATAATAAATTGATTGCTCTTTTTGAAAGACTAGCTTTAAGTAAAAAACTTCCAATTGAAGTTTTTATATTTGTAATTTTGTTATTTTTAATCCAGCTAAATAATACATTAATAACATTATTCTAATTTTAAGTTTTTCAATAGATTTTGTACTTTGATTATCAGATTTAAATGTATTAAAAAACATTAAAACAAATGATTTTAAATTAACAAAATCCATCATTTTCATAAATTCATTTGGGTCTGTAGGTGGAAAACATTTTTCTTCATATTGTTTTTTATATAATAAATTGGATAAATTATTAATATTATTTTTAAAAATATTTAAAAATAATTCTATAGATGGATTATTTAATTGTTGTTTTAAAGAAAAAATTGTATTTTTTAAATGAAAAATTTCATTATCATATGTATCTTTTAAATTTAATATTTCAATTTTATGATTATTAATTATTTGATTATAATCATTTTTTAATTTAAAAACTTCAGATTCATTATATTTTTTTAAATTTAAAAGTTCATCTTTATAATAAGTTTGAATATTTAAATTTTCATTTTCATAATATTTTTTTAAATTTGAAATTTCATCTTTATGATTTTGTAAAATTTCAAAATAATATTTATTTTTTAAATTAGAAATTTCAAATTCATAATAATTTTTTAATTTTGAAATTTCTATAGAATTATTATGTTGAATTGCATTAATATTATTATTTAAATTTTCAATTGTATTTTCTAAATTATTAATTTTAAGAATATATTATGTTTTTTCAAATTCTAATCTTATAGCATCTTCTTTATATTGAATTAATTCTTGAAATATATGTATATCAATAAGAATTTTACTAGATTGAATAGAATTTTCTAAACTCATTTTTATAAAAATAAAATAAAATCTAAAAAAATGTATTTGAGTTACTGACGATAGGTACTATTTGTGCTGACAAAATAAAGTGAATCAGCTAAGCTGACTTTTAGAAAAGGAGAAAAAATTTAAAAAATTTTTTAAAAAAAAACATATATATAATATTTATTACTAATAAAAATATAAATTTTATAATATACCCCTTATATATAATTATTGGTTATTATATATAGTCAGACCTCTTAAATGCTACTCTCTAAGCGCATATCCTATAAAACACCTCCCTAAATACACACCTTCTCCTGAACCTAACTAATATTAAATCTATAGATTGTTATCTCCCTAAATGCAATACTTCTCTAAATGCATGTTTGACTAAATTTTTGTATATGGTCTCGTCGCATTGCATTTAAGGAGATCTGACTGTATAAGAAATATTAATTATTAATAAATTTACATTAAACTTTATTTTGAAACAAAATTATAACGGAGATTTATAAAATATTTCAAAAAATTATTACGAACTTTAAATTTACTAATAAAATTTTAGATTCATAACAATTTTTTGAAATGTTTCATAAATCTCCGTTATAATTTTGTTTTAAAATAAAGTTTAATACATGCGTATATTATAGTAATGCATAATCTTTTATTGATATAATACTATATTAATAATACATCGCATATAATAAATGTATTGATTACAATAAAGTACTTTGTTTCATTTATTTTTATATTAATAAAATCTATATTTACTAATTTAAATATATGCTATATTCAATTTACTATAATAAAACCCAATCCTTAAAATCCATCCAAAACTCATTCTAACCCTAAACCTAATTCGTTTCAAATCCAATATCTAACCCTAAATTAATCAGATCTTACTTATTCCATAATTGATTACATAGTAAATAGTTACTTCGTAAACAATCACTTCGTAAAAAACGCTTCATAAATGATTATGTCATAGATAACTATCTTGTAGATAATTACTTAGTAGATAATGATATCATAAATATCACATAAAAATTTTTCCATAGTATCAGAACGAACTATATTGATCATGGGTCAAGATATCTTATACAGTTAATATGATCAAACGATTAAGGAATTAGGCTGATCAAATCCCTATAGATAACTAGTTCATAGGCAAGTTCATTTTATAAACATTCAATTCGCAAACAAGTTATCAATATTAGACAGTTTATTTCACTAATTGTTACAATAAACTATGAAATAAACTTGTTTGCAAATTGATTGATTGAAAATAAACTTGTATATGAATTACTTGTCTGTATAAAGTAATTGAATCCTATGAAAGTAGTAGAGTTGGGTTAATAAATTTAGTAATATATGTAATAAGCATTTATTATACTCACGTACATAATATTTGATTAGACTTTTTAGACTAACACTTGATTTTTTATTCCTATAAACTATTACATTAATCCTTATACGCTAACATAAAATATAATTCCAACCTTAACCTTGTATGTCTTTTTTTAAATCTTATAATTTCTTTAGTATTTTCGACTGTACTATTATATGCAATACTGAAAGTAATTATTGGTAATATAATACAGATCGTCTTCCTCATCCTAATTTAATATAATATGCATCATGTTTAAAGGAAATCAGTGTGTTACTTGTGCAAACTGCAATGATAACACTTTTTCTCTTCCTAATACAAAATTATTATCATTAAAGTATAAGGAGATCAGCAGTGTTCTTTTAAAGCATACCTGTTAAGCTTTTTCTCTTTCTGATCTAACTTGTTACTATTAACATCATGAAAAAAATTAGTGTAGTGTTCTCACAAATTGCATCAGCTACACTTTTCCTTTTTCTGATCCAAGATTATCAATAAAAAGATTCCAAAAGGTTAGTATGACATTTTTGCAAATTATATTCGCTACCTAATAACGCTAAAAATGATAAAAGCTATAATAACGAAAATTACACCTACGAAGACTCAAACAACTCGACAACATGGAACCATACCAATTGAAAAATCTATATCCACAAGAACATCTAAAACTCCAATAATGTGACAATGTGAAACCATTCTAGGCGATGAATCCACAAAAATAGCTAATTGACAGTACCGAAATAATAACAGGTCGATAAATTATACCTTCAGTAATGTATAATATAAAACCACCCCATGTATTGAAATCTGCAACTAAAATGATATTTCGAGTACTGAGTTTGCGCTATACTTGATGGCAAAACCCGAACAAATCCCAAACCTCAAAAAAACAAATTGTTTTTATAAAGAATTAAATCAACAAAATAATTTTGATTATTAATAAAGTTTTTAAGATATTAGTTTGAGCTTGAGTTTTGAATTTGGGTGTGGACAATCCCAAACTATAATAGTTTGGATTTGGGCGGCAAATATAGTTTGCACAGACTAACATGACGAGCTAAAACTGCTTCCACTGATGAGCCAGAACTACTTCTACGGCAACTCCAGAATTGACAGCACTTACGACAGCAGTTTCGAAAAATTCACAATTACTGAAATGAAAAACAATTATAGAATTAACATTAGATTAAAACAAAAAACCCATAATTATATTGCTGACAAATACAGAATATTCAAAAAAAAGAGATTTCACCAAACCAGAAACATCTTATTTTGGCGAATAAACAATTAAAAGATGGTCATATACTCTTAGCTTATAACATTCAGAAGAAAGCTAACTAGAAGTCCAAAACTTTGTATAATAACTCTTTACCTTTCTAAATTCCGCCCTATAGGTTTTTGTCTAATAAAGCAATGAAATAAGATTGTTGCAACAAGAACTCTGAAAATGCGAATAAATATTAAAATGTGAAACCTATAAGTTTGCCGGTCTAATTTTAATTGCTCATTTAATATGTGGTTCTTTAACGAATAAAAAACAAAAATTATTCTATTATAATTTATATACAATACAGTATTATATAATCAGAAATTTCATTTAGTATTTGCGATACAGGAGGATGCACTCCTAATGCAAATTTGGGTTATACTTAACGTACTCCTGACGCACCTTCTATGCAAGGGCAGCTGTTGAAAATACGAAAAAAACCTGTGCTACAGATAGCAATTGAATATATCAGATCTAAGAAATTAGTATAGGATTTGATAATTTTGTTTTGAAAATTATAAATATAAAAGAATTTAGATGCACATAACTCTTTCTGACGATCCTCTGGTCAACAACAACAAAAATCGAACTACAGCAAAACGTATAGAAAAGTGACGAAGTAGATACTAAAAC